GGGATGCTCCACAGTGTCCATGGCAGCTTCCGTTCATTCATTCCCCCCACAGCCACATCAAGAATTCCCAAACCATTCYCGTGGCCCATTTCTGCTGCTCCTCGGTCGATTTTCCCCAAGTGTGGGATCTCAGAGGTCTCTCAGGGTGACCTTTGCCTTCAGAAATCGTTACGAGGAGAAAGCAGAGCTGTGGGCGTGGGGAAACGCGAGGCCCTGGGAGGTTCTGATGCTTCTGCAGAGGAGAAATTCTGTGCTAAGACAAAGATGTGGGGAGAGGCTGCGAACTGAGACTGAACCCGCRGCTCTGGAGGAGGTGATCAGTGCGAGAGGAGAGCGGGAAACAAAGAAACCAACCCAAAATGCCTTTGTAGAACATCGGCCACCAGCCCCAGCCCTGGCACTGCCACCAGAGCCCTGGGCACAGCTGGARGGAAAAGGGAYGGAGAGCRWCCTGTRCCCCACAGTGCCGGGAAAGCAGCRGTTTGGGYRGAAAACTGAGGATTCTGGAAAATCTGGAGGATCCAGTGGGAAAGAARAGCCCGGCTGCTCTCCGGAGCCTCGGGGGTTAAGGCAGGAACAACCCGAAGCTGCCACCTCCCCCTCCCGAGGCGCCCAGGGAGGCTTTACCCCCCCAAGGCCGGGCAGTGATGGATGCGAAATGAAAAGCTCGATCAATAATTAATTGCTGAGGTCATCCCATGGTGGGGACGCGGCCGTGCTGCGCCCTGCTCTGCTCTCCCGGTGATGGCAGCAGGATGTGCTTCACTGGGGGGGCTGGAAGGACCAGAATTCCTGTCCTGTGGGCYCTGAAAACCAGAATTCCTGCCTGGGGGGCCCAAAAAAAACAGAATTCCTGCCTTGGGGGCCCCCGAAACCAGAATTCCTGCCTTGGCAGCCCAAAAAAACAGAATGTCTGGCCCAGGAGCCCCAAAAAACAGAATTCCTGCCCCGGGGACTCCATAAACCCAGAATGCCTGCCACAGGGGCCCCAAAACCAGAATTGCTTCTCTGAGAGCCCCAAAACTAGAATTCCTACCCTGGGGGACCCCAAAAACCAGAATTCCTGTCCTGGGGGCCCCAAAACCAGAACTGCTGCCCTGGGGGCTCCACAAACCCACAGCCTTTCCAACTCCATCCCTGCCGGGAGCTGATCCCCATTTTCCTCCAGCTGTGCCCAGGGCTCTGCTGCCATTTTCCTCCTGAGCATCTCCTCTCATTCATGGCCCAGTCCTCTCTAAATTCAACGCTGGGCCAGCCCCACTCGTTCATTTGGGGCTTTGAGGTTTTTGGGGGGCAGAGCTGCGGTTCCCATCCCTGCAGAGCTGCCGGTGCATTCCCAGGACATTCCTGTGCTCCCATTGTATCACTGGGCCACCCCTGCCCACATTTACTGACCAGAACGGAGAAGGATTCCAGCAAAAACCTCTCCAGAGCCATTTCCTGCACTGAGTTTAAACTCTTGACTCTCCAGGAAAGAACAAAATCGGCGCCTTTTTTCCTAAAAAAACCTGAACTCGTTGCTTCCCACAACTCTCACAGGAGCCTTCTCCATCTCTCCTGTCCCCATGTCTCTCCAAGGCTCTTCTGAGCCCTGTTTGGCCTGGAGAGAACCTAAAACATTTAATTTATATGGAGAAGGACCACATTCATCACCGGGATTTGAATCAGGAATTATGGAACCACACGAGCCAACCCAGTGTTCACTTCGTTCAGTTTGGCAAAAATGGGCCCAAAAATCCAAAAGCCCTGAACAGCCAAGATTTTTGGYGAGAGGCTTTGTGCTTGGCACGAGYCCTTCCCRATTCCTTCCCAATATCCCATYCAKYCCYRCCCTCTGGCAGYGGGAASCTRTTCCCTGTGTCCTGTCCCTCCAGCCCTGGGCCCTCTCCAGCTCTCCTGGAGCCCCATCCACACCTCCCAGGCCAGGCTGGATCCATCCCCAAATTCCAGCAGAGACTCATTCCCAGTTCACATGAAACGGGATTGAGGGATTCCTGCTGTTGTAATTCCCAATTTCTGCCTCTACACCTGAGTTCCTCAAAAATCCAGCTGCAGCTTTCCCGTTTTGGCTACAGCCGCCCATATTGTGAGGAATTCCCAATTGGGATCAACGTAAATGGGAACAATTCCTGATTGGGATCAAC